GGACCCTGGACATCACATATATAACTCACATTTGAGTTTTAGCAAATTCAATCAAAATTAGGTTAAACTCATAATTTTAGATAGAGCAAATTGATTGAAAATTAATTAAAAGTCATAATTATAAGTTTTAGCAAATTGTGTTGATTTTACAAAGTCATATTTTATATTTGAGCAAATTGGTACTTTTTTTTGAATTTAATTTATCCTTTTTTTTAACTTTTATTGATAATATTTTAAAAATATTAGTTTTGGGGTCCGGGTTATATTTTGGCCAAAATTAAGCATAATGCAGGCCAAAAACCGTCCGATTAGTTTCGCAACATTTTTTTTATTTTCAGTTTTTTGCGATTATCTTGGCATCCAGTAATCCGATTTATGTGGATTTTTTTTTTAATTTGTAGAGCTCGATAAGGGCTACAAAACAAAAAAAAGTTCGCATAAATTGGACCACTAGATGCCGAGATAATTGCAAAAAACATAATTTTTTTTGAAATTTAGGCCAATTTGCTAAAAAGTTATACTCATATTTTGAGTTTTAGCAAATTAGTATAGATTTAAAATGTGATAATTTGATTTTTAGCAAATTAGGTCTATTTTAGCAGGAGCAAAAAGTGCTAAATTCATGCAGATCAGTTATGAGTTATATATGTGATGTCTGGGGTCCTATTCAACCTAACAATCCAGAAAAAGAAGAAATTGAGGAGGAACCTTTACCAACAATAACTCATAACGAAGTTATTGAATGTTACGATAAAGTGATCTTATATTTACAATGTCAGGAAAATAATTATGGTTCAAATGATAAGGAAATTAAGTTTATAAAAAAATTTAAAAAAGAAGCTTTGAGAGAATACTTTTGTTCTACAAAGCAAATCAATCTTGATAATTTTGTTAATGTAATCAAATAATTCTATTAATAAAAATTTATAATTATATCGATTTTATACTGACGTAATTAATTTGCACTGTGACATATTAAATTGTATTGACGTAATTAATTTTATATTTAGACGTAATTATTCAACATGCTAATAAAATTTCAATATTTATATAAAATATAAAGTATTTTCCGATTAAGGCATTATGTGGTTCTAGTTTTTATACCACTCAAGTATTCATTAACAGCTACAGTAAAATCATTTGAAATAAATATTTATTCCCGCTTTAATAAATCATTTGCTGATGAAAACATCATTGACTGATTCTTTATTCATAACACTGCATCAACAATAGCTTTTCCAAGGCTATTCCCTATAAAAATAAAGAAAAAAGAAACGTTAGAACATTTCTTTAAGTTAATCCACAAAAACTTCCTCCATTCAATTTACCCGAGGTCTCCAAGACCGTTCCCAAGTCATTTCCTACAAAAATAAAAAAAAGAAACGTTAGAATGTTTCTTTTAAATTAATTTTATAAAAACTCCTTCCTTTCAACTTACCCGAGGTCTTCAAGACATTCCCAAGTCATTCCAGCGTTCTCTACGAAAATAAAGAAAAAAAAGAAACATTAGAATGTTTCTTTAAGTCAAATCACAAAAATTCCTCCATTCAACTTACCTGAGGTCCTCCAAGACCGTTCTCAAGTTTTTTCCTACAAAATAAAGAAAAAAAAGAAATGTTAGAACATTTCTTTAAGTTAAATCACAAAAAATTCCCTCCATTCAATTTACCTGAGGTCCTCCAAGACCGTTCCCAAGTCTTTCTCTACAAAAATAAAGAAAAAAAAGAAACGTTAAAATGTTTCTTTTAAATTAATTCCCAAAACTCCCTCTATTCGACTTACCTGAGGTTTTCCTGGTGTTTCCTGCAAAAATAAATAAAGAAAGAAATGTTAGAATGTTTCTTTTAAGTTAATTTCCCAAACTTCCTCCATTCAACTTACCCAAGGTCCTTCAAGACTGTTCTCAAGTCGTTCCCTACAAAAATAAAGAAAAAAGAAACGTTAAAACGTTTCTTTACCCAAACTCCGCTTTAGAACTTTACCATTTTTCATTTTCCCCTAAAATCTAGAAGTCCATTTTCTACAAAAAATAAACAAATTCCATTTTTTTTTAAGAAAAAACTAAAAAATCGATTAAAATAATTTAAATAAAAATTTTATTAATAAACTATTTTTTTTTCAGTTTTTTAAACCGAATTTGTATTCGGTTTACCAAATTTTTTTTATACAATCTAGTAACTTTTTTTTTTTTAAAAAAAAATTATCCACAACGATCAGTGGTAAATCAATATAATTAATTTATATGACTGAAACCGTAATGGTTAAAATTATGACATATCGGGCAGTGGTCAAAATTCAAAAGAAAACCTATGTACGCTCAACATCACATGATATTTGAGAATTATTATAAATGGTGTACGCACAATATAAAAAATAAATTGAATAATGATAAATTATGTGCGCTACTATTAAAAAATTTAACATCCATATTTCAATTCATGTGCAGAGCGCGCATTCCACACATCCAATTTTGACTACTGTATCAGGGTATTTTCAAAATTTGTATAAGCCAAAAACTATTAGTATAACATAGTTATATATTACAACGAAGAATTCGCTATGTTATACTGAATAATTCGTTATAGTATTAATGAAGTTGCTTATAACGAAGGCCTGATCGGCCAGAATGCAGGGTTCGTTATATCAAGAGGAGACTGTATAAATAATTAAATAATGTTGAAAATTGCATGCAAATTTACACACAATTTTTTTTTAATAATTCAACTGTTAGCAATTTTCTGTCTATATATAAAGTCTAAATCAGCCTTTTAAACTATCTTTGCAAGCTTAATAAAAGTTGTAGAGTGAGGTGAAATACATAATATATGTAAATTTCAAATTTTCTAAGGTATATAGATGAAAAATGTAACACATTTAACATTGTAAAATTTCATAAATTTGCTGATTTTTACAAATGTAAAGATTCATCTATAAGACAACTATTACAAAAAGTGATTTATATAAAAAAAATAATATTTTTAATATAAATTTCATAATATTTTCTATGCAAAAATCAAAAAAAATCCTAGGTTGATTAATGCAATTTCAAATATATAAATAATTAAACAATGTTGAAAATTGCATGCAAATTTGCACATAATTTTCTTATTATTTAAGGAATATTATTATTTGCAGAATCCTGAACATCTTTCATACAACTCAGAGGTAATGTATAGCAAAATGCATTTTTAGCAATAACTCAATTAATATCAATACTAAAAATGCGATTTTACTATTATTAGATTCGTCTTATTAAAATGAATCTAATAAGCCTAATTCATCAAACTCCAATTACTGAATCACTTAAAAACAGGGGTATATATGATAAGAAAATTTGAAAATACCTCTAAAATATACATTCTGGCCAGAATTAACATATAAACTTTACGTAAACTTTAATGTGAATTGTATGAGAGATGTTTGGGTCCTAAAATAATGTTTGGGTCCTAAAATACTAATAGGTAGGAGTAAACAATAGTAAAAGAAGAAGAAGTAAAGGAAAATAACTCTAAGAAGTTATTAAAAATCTTCTTTGCATATTGTTTGTATAGAGGCTTTTTATGTATTAACACCATTGACCATTTCTGTTTTCTTAATAGTATTATCTAAATTGAAAAAAGTTGACCCATTAAAATAAAAGTGGTTTTATATAAATATCTAATAAACTGTTTGTTAATAAAAAGTTTGTTATAAATTCTTTTCAAATTATTATTTTTTATAGTAATTTTTGCTTAAAAGTATCCTTATTTTTAAATAGTATTTATATTATTGGTATTCTCTTATAATTAGTAGGTGTTATACCAGGCTGCCTTATCTCGAAGGTAAAGTCTAGAAATTGTGTAAAATAAAGATTATTTTAAAATAAAAAATAAAACTATATACCTTTCAGGTCTTTTTATCAAAGTGAAACTTAGTTGAAGTTTATATTTAAAAGTGTATATTTAAAAAATAAAAGTAATAAAAGTGAAAATAAAATTTTTAATATATGTAGTTCACAGTACTTATTTCTATTTAATTATTAATGAGAAAGTGCAAATATTATATTTTTCTGGTAATGAAATCCTATTTGTTACATTAATTATCATGTGGATAAATACTTAATGCCGGCCAATTCCGCGACTTTTTATTGGAAGTTGTGCCGGGAAATAATTTTTATAAAATCGACCCAATTACACGAGGGTCAAATAAAAATGAATTCTAATGATAATACCAAAGAACAATTAAAAGACTTGATAAATCAAGTATCAATATTATATTCTTCAAAAAATATTGCTGCACATTATCTTGATTATTTTAAGCGAAAAGCTAAAGTTACGAAACTTGTTGACGCTCCTGAACCAGTAAAAAAAGTACTTGGTTTATTTCTGTTATAATTATAATTTCCATTTATTAACTTTAATTATTGTAACTTTATCAGGTTGAAAAAGCATGTATTAGCCTGGGAATTCGTAATATATCTAGATTTTATCATGTAGAATCAGATTATTATAATTGGGATCTTCAAAGAAGAGCGTAAGTAAAATGGTAATATTTTCAATTTGCCTAGTCTTTATAAAGGTTCTGAATTCAATTATGATTTAGATTTCGTTTAATTTCCCCTTCAATAAATCATCTGTGTAAGAGTGTTATTTTTGAAAATACTCGATCTTCTCATGATTCTATCGATGATCCATTAAATTCAAAGTATTATTGTGTTATCATTCAGGTATTTATTTATTTATTTATTTATTTTAATTTATTTATTTATTTATTTTAATGTTCTTTTTTATATACCATCTTAGTATGTTGGATCTATAAATACACAAAGACTTATGAACTTCGTGAGAACTTTGAAAAATAAACAAATAAGCAAAAAGAATTATAATTTTCGAGTCACTGATAGAGAAAAATCCGTACGATTGACAGGCTTTGAAAATAATGGAGTTTCCCCTATCGGAATGACGTTTCAAATTCCAATAATATTATCTAGTGCTATAACAGAATTACAACCACCAGTCTTTTATCTTGGCGCTGGCCATGTTGATTGGAAATTAGCTTTACCAGTGCACGATTTTATGTTGGCAACGAATTGTTTTATAGCTAATTTATCGTAAATGTTAGATATCACGTGTCAATGCAACTTATTTAATGACATTACTAAATTACACATTAAAATTTTAATTGTTAAAAAATTAATCTAAATTAATACTTTTTTTGCTATATACAAATATTAAAGGAAAAGGGTCCACTCTGTTTACAAGATCATTACTAATTTTATTATTTACAGAATTAAGTATATTATCCCTAACATTGTTTAGTTTTTCAATCAGAAGAGATGAGGTTCCGATAAGCGGGGGGGAGGGGTTTGGATTGCCCCGAAAGGTGTTACAGTCTTCCAGATAATCGCCTGCTGACTATTCTTTAGAAATTGTTGATCCTCATCGAAAGGTTCTTTGAATCGCCGCCAAATAGATCCTGCGAGACGCTCCAGATGAAAAGGCTCAGATTCCATCTCAGCCATCAGCCGAGACTCCTCACCCCAGCCAATACGAGATGAGAGCTATTAAGTAAAAAAAAAAAAATTTTACAGTTATAAATGCACAAATAAATGACATTTAATGGAATATCTTTTAATTACTTCTTTTATTCTACGTTCTCGCGCTTCAATTCGGCACTTATTGAGGAATTCGCGGCGTTTTTCTTCATTTTCTCTCTTTTGCCGCTCTTCTTCAGCCTTACGCTGTTCTTCTTCTTGTCTTTTCTTAGCGGCTAGTTTTTTTGCCTCCTCCTTTGCTGCCTTTTCTGCCATGAATTTCATGATTTCATGTTCAAGATGTTGAATCGCTTCTTTATTTTCTTCTTCTCTTATTTTCGATTTTTCAATCAGTTCATTTACTTCATCGATTCGAGCATCATCTTGCTCGTTTTCTCCTGATTTTATCGGTAGTGGTGGTTCTGGTTTTGGATCTTTTGGTTTAACTTTGCACCATGATGGTAATGGTTTTATTTCAATAGGACCGGTTGAAAAGCCTCCATCATAAAACATAGGTTTAGCTTTATTGATCGCAGTCTCTGCCTGTTTCTTAGGTTTTTGCTCTTCGAGTGAAGAAAGCGGCGGTATTGATGACTCTTTGCGTTTAGAAGGGATGTTCCTTGTCGTCGCACGACGCACATTTTGGATCGTTTTTATATTTGAACCAGAGCTATCACTTGTATTTTGTTTTGTAGTTGACCGACTTCTAGTGTTTGTACCAATACTTCCTGTCGTGCGTGATACACTTGCTATAGTACTTTTAGATGATCCGTCATAGTTTAGACTTTCTTGATTTCGAATAGGAGAAGGAGACCTACTTGGTAGATTATCTAATTCTTCAGCCATCATTCTCGCGAGATCATCACCTTTAACTTCGGAACTAGGGTTTACTCTCGGTGTCACATTTCGGTCCTCGTTGATATTGTCATTCCTTGCATCATCTGGCGCATTTCGCAAGATCTGTTTTCTTATCATCTCTCGATCTTCTTTTGTGATGGTATCATTCCTCGAATAACTTTTTGTACCATCTGTATTTTTTGGCTGTTCATTTGATTGTTTGCTGGTCTGCGTGTCGTTCTGAGAATAGTCTCTTTTCATCACTTTAATTGATCGGATTGGTTGCTCGCTAGATTGTGTTATTTCAGTTGATTGACTTTGTTGTGATTTAGGTTGCACTGGGTTTGGTACCTTGAATGAGCCATTTTGATGCTCTGAGAGAATTTTAAATGATACGCACTGTTTGAGTGTTTTTGATGTGGCTTGTGGCGAATTTCCTTGAGACATTTTTCTTTTTCTCTATTATATCAAACGAATATATTTTAATGATGCATTAGTTAAATTATGTTACATCAATATATTTAATATTTCATTTTACCTTAGGTCCTGCAATTTCGTTAAACAAGATGAGAATATATGTTTCGTAGCGTTAGGATTATTTGAAGGAAACGTACACAAACAACATATAATTATTATACATAAAGAAAAAAAAGAGGAGAAAATCAGAAATATATATCATTTTTAAAAACGAATTTTGAAAAGGCAACCAAACGAACGAAAATATTTTATTATGTAAGCAATGTTGATAAGAGCAAAACTCAAGTATCAACTTTGAATACAAAGAAGGAACAAAGTTTTGAAAAACATAGTATCAAAAGGTCCCTTCTCCTTTTCCTTCAATAATATAACATCAAGATAATAAAGTAAAACAAAGTAGTATGAACTATGAAATTCATATTAAAGGTAGGTAAGGTAGGTAAAAAGCAATAAAAACCTATATCTTTTCCATCAAAAGCAAGATAACTCCCAATAACGTTACAAATGTAAGGTATTGAAAGAAAAGGAGAGAAATTATAAAGGGTAATTGATTCTAAACAGTATCACTACCTGAATCTTCCGATTCGGAACCAGATGAGTCTGAACTCTGACTATCGGAGGAGTCCTCAGAACTATAGTGGCTTTCGTTAAAAGCTATTTAAGAGAAGGAAAATTTAAAATGTTACAATAACATTCTATAATATGAAAATATTTATTGATAACTTAAGGTAATAATATAATGTAATATATACCATCGCTAGAAGAAGTGAATTTGGCCAACGTCTTTTCCAGGGCAAGAATCTTTTGAGCTTCATCTTCCCTGGAATGTTTGCGTGCCTTTTTTGCTGGTGGTGGACGTCTTTTTTGCTTATTGATTCGTTTCGAAACGAATTCAAACACTTTCTTAGCTGTTTTTACGTCGAGTGTCTCTATTTCTAATTCATAACTACCATTATCATTCTATTTCAAATAGATAAAGTGGTGTTAATAAATTATATAATTTCGCGTGCAGTAAATCACGTGATTATATTCTTTTTCGCACGCGAATGATAGATACCTGTAAAGGCGCTCCACTTTCACGTAACAGATCAATGAGTTGGTTCATATCTGTGTCAGCAAGAAGTTCGATGCTACTGCTAAGAAAGGCTTTTTGATCATTCGATAGACCATCATCATCGCGTTGTTTTCCACCTCGAGGGCGCTTTAGTGATTTCTTTTCAACATCCACATCCATCAAATCGTTAAAACTACCTTTACTAGTCGATGCTTTATCGCTCTTGATTTTTTTGGATTTACCCTTTTTAGGATTGCTTATCAATGCGCTCAGCTCGTTCAGCTTCTTTTGTATTTTTTTTATTTTTGGTTCTGATAAAAAATGTGTTCAAATGAGTCAAATAAATAAATCGAAAAATAAGAAATTTGACATTATAAATGATTTACTTGAAACTTCTTCTTCATCAAATTCCTCTTCAGAGGAACTATCTGTGTCGGTATCATCATCTCTTGCTACTTTCGTTTTCCCTTTTTGTTTAACTTGGGGAACAGGTTTTTCAGCCCATTTTTTGTTGAAAACGGACTCTAATGTTTTACCCATGTTATAAACTTCACTTCCGACGCCATTATATGTATAGCAATTACGAAACATTAGACGAATGTCTTCTTCGAACTCTTCAGCATTTGCATATTGATCGTTCTCTAATTTTGAATTTATAGTAGCTAGGTCCATTGGACGTTTTATGACCTTGTAGTAATCTGGGACTCCTAGCTTTTCGTCATCAACGGGTTCATAGAATGGATAAGCGTAAGGCCAATGTGTCTTTTTCTTAAGTTCACGAAGAACGCTACGACAGAAATTAAGTTCAATATTCTTTTTAGTCTTCTTACGACGACCTGGTTGAGGTGCTTCAGGAAGGTCTTTGGCAGGAGCTTTAATTGTTCTTTTTGGACGAGATTCATCAATAGTCAAATTTACAGTCGATGATGATGGTGTAACAGTAGCAGCAGGGGCAGGTGCAGTAGTCTTTACAGACTTTGCCGCTTTAGTAGAAGATTCAGCAGCAGGAGGTTTGATCTTTTACGTAGAAGTTAAATGAAAATACCGAAAAAAAACTTCAATAAAAAAGAGGGAAATGACGCAAAGATCTTTTACCTCTTTTTTGCCCCCAGGGAAGCTACTAAGTTGTATGTTGAACAAACTTTCTAATTCTCTTGCTTGTTGAGAAACTGGATGATCAACACCATTATACAGGATGCAGTTTGAAAAAATGAGTCGAACATCTGACTCGAAGTCTGCTACAGTGGTATATTGAAGAGCATTAAGTTTGGATTCTACAGTTCCAAGATCCATTGGTTGCTTAATAATATCAAAGTAGTCAGGTATTCCATATTTGACAGGGTCAACGGGTTCAAGAAATAGTCCAGCCGAAGGATGCTTCTTCAATTCTTTGAGAGCAGCAGTACAATATTTGAGATGCTTACGAGCCATACTCTTGGAAAACCAATCATTTTGTTGATTTTGTTGAGGTTCAACGCTGCATATAGCGGGAGACAAGTAAAATAAATATGTAAGAAAATATCATAGCTAGCAAAAAGTTACAATCATTAATCAAGCAAAGACGCTGCGGATGAATGTTGAGAACGCAGCAAATTAGACTTTAAGAGAAACTTAATCAAAAAATTTAATGCTTATTTGAATAAAAAAAATATCTTTATAAGTCTTTAAGCCGCTTAATCTTCTAAAAAAATTTCGTGTTTTTTGTTGTAAAATTTTTTCTCATTTTTTTCGATGAGAAAGATACAAAAAAAAACCTATCTATTTTATATAAAACCCACTTTGATTTATAAACAAATGATTTCCACTTACTTGGTTTCAATAATAGGGGTAGCCTCGTTTTTTGTGGTTTTAGTAGGTTTTTTAGTTGCTCGGCGCATTTTGTAAATGTCGTTACAAGAAAGTTATAATCGTGACAAAAGAAGTTTTATATATTTATAAGGATAGGGTTAATATTTGTGGGAATTTTGTTTTGAAAAAATCGCTTCTCGTTTCTCGCTTCTCTCAGAATGAAAACCAAGAGGAGAAATTTCCTGACAAATTACATATTTATACCTCAACAAAATTAATGACGTATTATACGCAGTAGTAAAAAAGCCGGCATAGAAGGTTCTTCTTACTAACAGAAAAAAAAAAGTTTCGGATTTTTAATGGAAAACGCCAAAACGCCAAAAAAATCTTACTATGCCACAAATACTTTGGTGATTTTAAACTGACTCAACGGGACCAATTTTCTAAATTAGGAAATTAACTTAATAATTTAGTGTCATATCAAGGATTTTAAATACCTCGAAAGAATCCGAAACAATTAATACGTCTTTATAATAGATCCTAATGAAAGATTCTAATCCTTCAACTATTATAATTTACAATATTTTAAGCAAGGGTATTTAGATTTTACTTTCTAAATCTTTCTTTGTAGCTAAAAAATAAATTAGAAATCCTAAATTATACCCTATTTAGGAAAGAAATTAACAGAGCGTACATCCTTTAGATTAGCCAAATTAATTATAGTTGATGACGTAGCCGCAATCCAAAAAAATAAATCATGAATACATTTATCATATTTAATATACAACTTGATAAAGTCTTTTTTATTGGTTTTTTTTTGACGTATGAATAGCATAAGGATAAAATAAGGATAAAAAGTGTAAGCAAGCGTGTTTTGTATTTTATATTATATAAAGCTGTTCACGTGTTTTTTTCTTGTAATGTTAGGCATTTATGAGCGACCGTAAGCTGAACCTTCAAGGTTACGGCATTTAATTGAAAATTCAGTCACGATATCTTTAAAACGTTGAAGAGATCTTGTACTATTAAGAAAGTATTAATTAATGAATGTATTCAGTAATAAATTTGAATTTCATTGTAGAACTAGAATTTACCCCAGGATTCCCCTAGCAAAGTTTTGTTTAGCCATTTGATCCACATGTGACGAAGGAAAGTTATCCTATGAAATTAAATTAATAAATCATAAATAATAATAACTAACAAATTCATATAATACCTCTGCTAATAAAATCCCTAACCATTCTCTACTGGCTTCGATGTAGCGTTCTGTCATCTTGTATAAAACAGGAGATAATGAACTAACAAATGATCGTGGCAATTTACCTCCAATCCCCTAATAATAATCAATGATTTATTATCCATTATATCATAATTATACAAAATAATTAACTTGATTACCAATAATAATTCTCTCATTATCTCTAACCCATAAGTCATCATCACGTTTTCAATCCCCTTTGCAAATTTATCATTTTCACAATCCTGCCCTATAAATTCTCCCTTTTTAATCGTGGTTATAATGAGTAAAGGATATAGTGACAGAGAAGATCAGAACTAATAAATGCTTACTATAAAATTCACTGCTGACTTTAAGGCTAATCTTTCTTGCAAACCCAAACCTGCTACAGAGAATGTCATAATGCCATTAAACATGTCAGATGGTAAGGAATACAATAATAATGGACATTTTTTAAGAAACTAATTTACATGATATAACAACATAAATTAGCATTATATGAACTAAGAATAATGATGGTCCTTGTTGTGTTAGAAATCAAACCCATACCTTTGTAATAAGTAAAAAATAAGAATTAACAATGTCTGGATATTGTTCCATCTCTAATGAGATAAAAAAAATTTAACGATTACGAAACATTTAATATGAGTCACTTGAAAAACTTACCAGCCTTACTTCTCACGTGTTGTATAGTAGTAGAAGTTAAGGAAATTAACACATCCATCAAATCGACACCATGCTTAGGGCTTGAACCATATACGGTCACTATTTGAACTGCAGTTTCTAACCAATTGGCGTGTGGATGTCGTTGAAAAGAAATTTTAATTAAAGGTACAATGATCTCGAAAGGTATGGAAAGTAAATTTGGTGTAATACGAATCCCAATATTAAGAAATTTACAAAGACACTATAATAAGCGAGATATTAAACTCATACGATCATAGAAGAAAATAAAAAAAGGTATATATATATATTGAATCAAATACCTCTATAACTTCATTATCTTGATACCAAATTTCTGCAATATTACGAATAATTTCTGACAAAGCATTGGTCAAATCTTGAACTGGTATTGAATCAAAAACAGCAAAATTTTGTTTAGTTTTTAAGTCATCATCATCAATTACGATTAAATTTTCATCAGGTGGTTGAATTCCACGTCCACAACATGTTAGATACTCTAACTGTGTAATAATAATTTCCCTAAACTGCGAAGGGTTCTAGCAAATAGCAAAAAAAAAAAATTAGAAAGATTACAAAAAACTAATCAAAGAAATTAATATCCACTAATCAAGACCTGTCTTCCATGTAAAATTATATCCTTCATCGTTTGTATAATGTCACTTGTTATAGACTATCAAAATATATTATAATGAATAAATATCATAATTTTGTGATTGCGAAGATATTTTTCACAAATCAATTTACCAACAATGGTTGTACCATCTTTTCTGGGGGCAAAACCTGAATTACATCCGCTATTGATTCGATGACCTTTTGTTTTTCCCTCGGCTGAAAAGAAAATGAAATGAAAATAATGAATTATATCACAAAAAATGATGAGGTATATAAGAAACATACTTGAATGTTTGGACCAACGACTATATACATATTCACTAGATCTTCTATACCGTTGACTAACGAATCACGACAAATATCACAAACTTCTTTAAATGCTGTAGCAGCTGCTAAAGCTAATTCAATATCACTTAGCGCAGGTATAAGATAATTTAATGCAGAAAGTATGTATTGAGGGTTAGATTTAAACCAATCTGCATAAGAACCTTTAGGTAAAATTTATTAATAAATAAATAATACTTTCATTAAAATCGTAAAGAAGATCAAAAAATTATAAAATACCAATTAGCGAAAATGCAGTGTTCCTTAACTTGGTGTGACCTTGCACAGGTAATTTTCCATAAACATCTGAACCAAAAAGTTGTGGTAAATAAATGTTTTCGCCATTGCTTACGGCCTCAGCTATTGACTTTATGCAAAATAATGTAGACTCCAAATCCTAAAAGAAATAATGATACCAATATTTTCTAAGATAATCTAGATCACAATATAAATTAAGGATAAATTTCTACCTGCCACTGATTTTGATCTCTTCCCGGTGTACTTATTTGAGATATTGCCAATTCTACCAAAAAAGCTAACATTTGATCTCTTAAAACATAATATGTATTCAAAATTGTGTCACCGACATCCCTTCGATAATGCCAAAATCGTTCTTTTACATCTAAATAATTTATAAATACGTATCTTATAACTCAATTTGGTGAACATAAGATCGACAAAAAGCAATAATCATTGTTGGCACCTTTAGTAAATTCTACCCATTCCGAATCTGGCGGATATTGTACTTTACCCCGTAAAACCTCTATCAATCTACGAAAAATGACAATGGATGATTCTCGTATTTGTTGAATATTTGTGGGTGAAATATTAAGTGTTTGAATATCTGATGTGGAAACATCGTTATCAGACGCAGAAATGACTGGAATTACTTCTGGATCGCATAAAGATTCCTGTAACATAAACCAGAATTGCAAAGGCATCTCACTAATGTATATGGTAGCCTATGTTAAGAATCACTGAGATAATACGAAAATTGACAACTACAAAAAAAAAAGGATATTTCTTGGTCTTGTCCAAAATAACCAGGAAATCCTGCAAACATTAACATCATTTCCAAGTAAATAACAATATCTTGTCTTAAGAAATTTATTGCAACATAATTCGTAAAATTATCCCCAAAAGTTGTCATCAATCGACAAAGATTTCTTGCAGAAAGTTCGTCTCCGTCTAAAAATATTAGGGAATTAATAATTTTATTGTTGCGCTTCTGTAAGATAATAATGCTCTTATATAAGGTAATATAACCTAATGTCGGAACTTTAAGTATTACCGTTAATAGCTTTAGTTATTTGACTTTTTGCCCAGTCACCAGTCATACACTGAAGTATTTTCTCACACACTGTGTTCTGATAGTAATTAATACGAGTTTGTGAAATAAATTCCACCAAAACTTCTGTTGCTGCATCGTTCATTGATTCAATCGAGAATAGAGCTATAACGTGATCGATGAGAAGGTGAAGCATCCTTTAAATAAGATATTGTAAATCATGTTAAATTTTAGTAATTAAAGTTTAATATATGAAAAAAAAGTACATTACTCAAAAGGTACACCATATTGGATCCAACTTTGCAAACATCGAAGACATTTTTGTTTTAATATAATATCTCGTTCCGAATATTCATGGTGAGCAGATAGTAAAGTTTCCAGTATTGACATTACACGTGGAATGGAATCAGTAAGTTCCTGATTGACTCTTGCTCTACAGAATCGGATAAAAAAAATCAATATATAAATAAATTCATGAAAATTGATAAATTAAATATTGACTATTACTTTCTTTCTCCTATCAAATCAGCTCTTAGAACTTCCTCGGGAATGACAGTTAAAAATTCAAGAAGTGGTAATTCAATGAATAGAGGTTGACTCTGGTTTTGTGCTGAGACAGTTATGGATTCAGTATGCAAATAATTGAGAAAATCTGATATAAAATTCGTCCAAAACTCAGGAACCGCTTGAAGTGCAAAGGCTGTAAGCTTTGATATTTTTTGGAAAGTTCCATTATTAATCTTATTAATCCTTAATAGCAAAAAGATTTTTTATCTTGATTAAGCAATATCTAGCAAAACTTACTGCTAGACACAATTTTGTAATAACGACCATTGGTCCATTTGAAAGACGCACAATCCATCTTAGAAGTTCATTACGGACCCATTCTTTTCGGTCAGGAGGTAAAGTATGCCTTAATTAAAAATAAAATTTTTACAAATATATGAAAATGAGAGATCTTTATATTTGAGGAAAATTTGTTTTATGATTTCTTTTATTAATAAATCAATAGTAATACAAAAATATGTAAATCTATAACTATAATTGCTATTTGTTCTTTCATCTTCTCCTTACCAGTCTCTCGATATTTTAACTTGAAAAGTGTGAGCCCCGAAAAATTGAGAATTAACTGACTATATAGTCAGGTAATTAAAAAAAAACCATTAAATTTTTGCCCACCCAAAAAAATTCATACCAAGTTAAGCGCTTAGATTAATTCTATAAAACTCAAATTGAAAATATTGATCGTTATAACCTCAGAAGCCAATAATTGTGGTGCTAATTCCCAAGCATATTGTTGCTTTTGAAGGGTTTGCAAATATTCTTGTGCCGAATTAGAGTCTACGTTTCCATAGAGTTGCGCTATTATCTTTAGTGAATTTTTGTCAATCTATGTTAACTCGTCTTGATTCACTAGAAAAATTATAATTTTAAGCACGTACTTGTTCAACCTGAGCTAATTGAATATCCATTTAAAAATTTTAATCGGGACTACCATCCTATATTTCAGACCTATATAGTAGTACCGTTTTGTCGGAATTTGTGTTACCGTTTAACAGCACTAAGAAACTTGAGTCGTATTTAAAGGTTTTGTTAATAGAACATTATTATGATATCGTCAGACACCTTGCTTCGTTGGTTAAAACAAGGAAAGATTACTGCTAAGACGTCTCCTTCTGGTACTTGTCAGCGACATCGGCTCGGGTGTCAACTTCTTAAGACTTTATTGGAACGGACAAGTCGCGAAATAATCTGAAATTGTGGTTACCCATCGTGCCGGTTTGCCTTCGAGCTCATCGAGTGTGTTCTTTCTCCACACTACAAGACTCATGGTTCTCTTCAACGGATAAGCACGAACTTTCCCGGGATATCCTTGCGATCAACACTGTCTTCATCTATCGAATGCAAGGAAAAGAGCTGCTCTACCAAGTGGGAAGAGGAAAGCCAGTGCAACAAGGCACCAAATGAAGACGCTCAGAAGAAACTCTTAATCGTACATTACTAGTCAAGGTGTACCCCAACCATTCTCAGAAACAATTATTGAAACGTTGGATGGTTGGCGAAGGAGTTATTTCACAAAGGAAGATGGCATAAAAAAAAAGAAATATATAAACCCTATGAATCATCCTTTATTTAGTGACATTTGAGCTGGAATAAATGTTGATGAATTAAATAATAAGAAACTTATCAATTTAGCTATCTGGGATGAAAGAAAATTCTTAAGAGCTGTAGTCCATTTAGGAATGCGAACATAAGTGTCTCTCCTGCAAATATAACTGACGAAGCTTTAACTAAGGTTATTAAGCGAAATACAAAGTGAATCTGTTAGTTCTCTATCATTTCAAACTTGTGAAGATCTACGACATACTATTACCATCCTCAATATGGGACCATTTTTGCATCACTTATCTGCCTTTCACAACATTAAACAGTAACAAACGTGCTTTATGGCCTTCGCATTTTTGAAAAGGATACTTGTTTTCGCCAAAAAAATGAATGGAAACTTGCATGGGTCTATGAGATACAAACCATCTCCACAAAAATGATCCTGGGGTTAGAACACCATTTACATGGTACTCTCCGACAAAAGGTGTAGATAAAATTGGTGAATGACATTGGTAGAATTATTCGTCTTTGTACCATATGGATAAAATAATATCGCAAAGAGACAAGTTTTATAGGTCAACTTTTAAACAAAAAAAAAAGAATGCTAAAGACTTGGTATAGCAGTGGCATGTATGAAGTGAAGAATTGCATAGAAAAGCAATTGCATTTTTCTTTGAGAATTTGATGCTATTATTATTCCACATTATGAGGTATCAAATATAGTACAGGGAGAGGCCAAAATTATCCGGACACTTTTAATGTAAAATTCACATACATTATAATATATTGGAGATAAAAATTTAAGTTAAATATTAATTATTGTGTTTATATTTATTAATTTAAACGGAAATTTAATAATAAATTCTATTTCCATTTCCAACAATAACTGCTTCAATTCTAAGGTATGCTAGTAATTGATTTTATAATATTCCAGAAAAATATTTTTCCACGCATCCATATAAATGTACTTCTTGAAGTTTGTGTAGGTTCCATTGTAAAAATTGTGTATTTGTTTCATTGAAAGGATTGAATGATAATCATATCAGCAGATTTGCATAATGTCAATCAGACATAGTAAATTAATTAGAGAACTGGGTTTTCTCATTTCTATAATAAATTTATACCTTTATTATTCCTTTTACGCTGATTTACCAAGTAAATTAAGTACCTTTATCGCGGATTTATCTGAAATGTTTTTAGGTGGTATTGTAGATACAAAATATTATAAGTCAAATGATATATGATTACCCAATATATGGGATCAATATTTAGCATATTTAAATTTTACATTAAATTTAGATATTTTCTATAATATTTTTATGTTCTGATAATTGGATTTTCATAATTTTTAGCTCATTATTAGATTTTTGTTTCATTAAGTGGTAGTAAGTAAATAAATACTCTGTATTAAATATTATATTGAACAAGTTATGATATTTTAAATCTTTTAATTTTTTTGTTATATAAATTGTAAAATTTATACAATAAGTGATTTCATATTTGAAGCAATTGAAATTATACCTTTCAGTATAGTAAATTTTCAATTGACATAATTAGAGTTTTGAATGGATTAGATTTATCTGCCCAAGGTAAATCATGAATTTGATAATCTAATAACTTAAATATCATAAGTCAAATTAGATGATCAGATATCTGAAAGTTATTAAAAAAAAACATTTTTTCTTGATAAAAAATGCTAAAACTTTTTTATATATAATTTATTAAGAAGTTTTAAAAAAATGTTGAAAAATATTTTTTTTTTAAATTTTTTTATTCAAATCAGATTAGATAACTTGACCTAACCTAAAAGTTATTAGAAAAAATATTTTAGCATTTTTCTGAAAATTTTATATATAAAAAATACTAAACTTTTTATATATATTTAAAAAAAATGGTAAATGTTTTTTATTAAATTTGAAATATTTTTTATTAAATTTTCTATTAAAAAATATTGAAATACTTTTTTATATTAAAAAATATTTTTGCAACATTTTTTTTAAAAAAATTTGTTATCACAAAGTTTGAAGTCTTGTATTTATTAAATAGAAATATTTAATTACAGTCAGAATTCGATATAACGATTCGTGATAAACCGATTTTAGCCTATAACGAACTTTTTTCTCAAACCAAAACCGTCTATATTAAATTTTATCACTATATACCGATTTTATTATAAATATTGCAATATTATATAT